AACCCTAACTATTCTATGATTCTATGTATACCTTTTCTGTGGGATTAACCCACCATGTCTGCCCACAGGATTGTCACTTCCAGAGTGATTCCCATGGCATTCAGTGGCCCACGTGTGGGATGGACCACATCCAGTGATTGAGGCTGTCTATGAAATACTCCAGATGTGATTCCACACATGTAGAAAGTTTCTGCCTCAGCTCAGTTTGTTCTATGTCTAAATAAACTTGAAATGTAACAGGGAAACCTCAGTATTCAAAGAACTTTTCACTATGCTGTTGTACTGTTTCACACACACATGTAATTCTACTGAGAAGAGCTCAGAGAGGATTTTTGGTGTAGACTACATGTATCTCTTAGGGGTGAAAGACAAGTATTTTCACCCTAAAATGCTCTCCTGGGGAAGGAATAGTGGGTACCTGACAGTTTGAAGCTTACATGGGCCTCAAACAGCCTAGGGCCTCCCATGATCATTCAAGATTTGCCACCTCCTCCAGCCACAAGGTAACCAGAAGTTTTTCAGTTCCCAGTGTTGGCTACTGTGAGCTGCAAAGTGACTCCCAGATTCCTGTGCTGCCTCCTCCTCTCCTCCCCTGTTTTTAATATTAAAATGCAAAAAAATGTAGGAAACTTGGAATATTCTCATTTGTTGAGGTGGTGACTCTTTTTCTTCTTTCCTGCCTTTTTTCTTGGTTGCTTTTCCTTATTTTCTGTTCTGTGTATATTTTATCTTTTCATCATCTGATGCTTATTGTTCTCATTTGTTTTCCTTCCAGCAAATATGCATAATTTGTTCAGGCTGCCTCTGCTTTCAGGGAGGCTAGGACACTGTCTCATTCCCTGCTGCTTTCATTCAGGAAAGACTTCCAGGCTTAGGATTTCAACCAACATCCTTTCCCTCATTGCCTCTGCCTGAGTTTGGGTGGGCTTCTACATGTGGGACATTCAGCTGGCAATGATTTTTGTCTCACTCATCACATGTGGTTTCACTATGATGGGTTTGGGTTTTAGGACTTGCTTTTCTACTGCAAGTAAGCCAAGAAGCTCAGGGTTGAAAGGGGCTCCAGGAGAGCCTGAGATAGCCAAAATGAGGTGTGTGTGGTGTGAAAAATGCAGGCAACCTGTTTTTTTTCACTGTGTAGTTCTGGGCCAAGTCCTGTTCACTGTTAAACCAGCAGAAGTCTCAGAAGACTCCTTGTGTCTGATTTAATGCGCCACTTGGATGGAACAGCATTTTAAAGCACCAGCGTGCCAGCCTGGCTAATTTTAGATAAGGTTTTGGTCACGCTGTCATAGGCAGTGTTTGTGGATAGATGTCACATTTTACCACTTCTTCCCTTGTCTAAACATAACAAAGACTGTTCCTCAAACATAGCAACTAAAGCATGCATGCAGTCTTACCCTTTTTAACTAATGCATTTGTGTTTGTTGTTGTCTTTTAATTTTGCATTCTAGATCAAGATAGAGAAGGAGCTTAGCAGCCTCTACAAGAGAATGTTTGAACCTCTCCATGTGCCTCCAGAGCTCTTCCAAAGACTAACTGGACAGTTCTGCAACATTCAGACTTTAAAGACAGGTCAAGCCTATGCTGCAGAAGATAAAACATCAGTTGATGATAGGCTAAGCATCCTGCTGAAGGGGAAGTAGGTTCTACAAAGCTTGGGGACAGTCTTATGCTTTGTGTTGAATAGATTAGAAAGTTATTGGGGGGTTTGTTAGCTTTTTAAGTGTCATTAGTTTTAGTGCATGATGGTCTATAGCCAAATAGTCTGTAGGTATAGACTATTTTGTGACACTGTTTTCAAATGACAGTGACGTCTCTTACTGGCAGCATAGTATATCTCCATTTGTGTGTGCAGCTGCATGGATTTTAGTGGGAATTATATTTGTGTAATACCAAAGGCAGTGTATTCCAAAACAAGCAAGAGATCTGTGCCAGTCTTAGATATCCAATTCACCTTCTCAGTGCATTCTCAGGTTTCAAGGTTAAAAAATATTGTGCATGAGAAAAGGAAAAAATATCCTTCCAGTAGATTTAAAAACAACAGGCCTATTGGAATTGATTCATTGGACATGTATGTGTAAGCAGAGAGGGGCAGGTGCACTACCTAGAGGCTGACAGGACCCAGGTGCAAAAGGGTAAAATAACTGCCTGTGGCCAGGCAGTAATTTTGAAGCTTTTGCTAGGATCTGGCCAGTATTTTAACCAATTCCTGTTGATAGCAGCAGTGGTGTCAGGCTTCATAGTTTTTCTTTTGAAGTGATCAGCTGCTCATTACTGTAAAGCTAGTTACCTAAAGGAAGCCTGATTCTGGTCTGGCTCGATAGCAAAACGCTGCAGGTCTCTTTCATTTTGAATAGCAATGTTCTGAGGATATGCACCATGTTGAGCAACTTGAACTGGCTGGCAGTTGGTTCTGCTTGGAATTGGTGGAGGTTTAGGCAGAAAACAGTAGCTGTGGGGCTGATATTCCAGAAGATGAACATATTTTTGCCTGTTACTGACTCTTTTACCATCGTAAATAATCATACACAAATTTAGACCAAGTGAATCAATTTCCATGACTTTAAAATGTTTCATACATTTTTATTTCCAGAATGAAGGTGTCTTATCGAGGGCATTTTCTGCATAATATTTACCCCTGTGCCTTTATAGATTCTCCTGAATTTCGATCAACGCAGATGAACCGGGGTGAGAAATTCCAGGTACACTTTGGTTTAAATGTCACTGGTTATAAGCTGATGAGATAATTAAGAATGAAGTATAAATTTGATCAACTATTTGACTGGCATAATTTTGCTAGCTTTCTAGTACTGGTATTTTGTGATAAATTATATCAAGAATAATTTTTAAAATTAAATGCTGCAAAACAGTATTACGATGGTGTTTGCTGACCAGTGTGATTTTTGGTGTTCTGTTCTCTTTTACTCTTTCAAAGTTTATTTTGTGTTAAGAGATTATTTGGGGCAAATAATATAAGAGCGAGCTTTACTGCAAAAAGATGATGTAAGCAGTCTCATCACTGGTTCAAAAGCAGAAAAGAAAAATAATTATTGTAATATTTGGTGTTACTAAAATGAAGGACTAAAAATTCAGGCATTAGTACTTTGAAATTGGTATTTATCTAAACATATTAATGATTATGTCCTTTTGAAAGTTGTTAAAGTAACATAGCTGAAAGAGATCACACTATTTTGAATAAAAATATCCATACGGGGAACAGTAAGGGTATACGTCTCTAGCAGTGTAATTAGGATATATTATACTGTAGGTTGTGGGGGGAAAAACACTACTAAAGAAGTTTTTTCCCATAGTACTGAAATGGCTGTTTTGCTACCTCTTACAATTATGTTTTTGAACTGGGTATGTGTAATAATGACCAGACTATTGCTGACTGGGTAGATCCACCCTGGCACCCTGGCAGAAGGGGAGGGAGAGCAATGTAGAGTCTAAAATCAGTGATTGATGTCATATATTCCAGTCAGATATTAGACTTAATGCCAGGGAGGGAGAATTGTCCAGACATACTCATTTTGAAGCAATGAGGCGTCCTCTTGGCACAGCCTGTTTCTCTTGTAAGCAACGGGATACAAACTGATCCCTGTGAAGGGAAAAGGCTCATGCCTGAACTTCTGCCTCAGACATTATTATAATCTAGTGTGGTGTACATCCTTCAGTCTGAGTTCTGCTTGTTACTACTATATAAACACTTTCAGTGTTGCTATTGCAAAAGGACGCAGATTCAGCCTCAAGGACCCCATCTGCTGGCAATGCTGGCGAATTCTTCCTCAGCCAGTGTGCTTATATTACAGACCACGAAGTTAAAATCCATGGATACATTTCCCATTATTTCTTAGTCTTTATATATTTTTTTTTTCTGAGGTTACATTAGCTTGTCATAGCAGAGAGCATTGAATTTATTTGTAGGTGACTCTTCCCATTGCAAAACATGCTCTTGGGTATCACCAAGTGGTGCAGGTTACCATGTGCCGTTGTCCTCCACCAGCACAGGGGGATGAACCTGGTGGGTCCAGCCTCCCTGCAGAGGGTAGAAGCTCCTCTGTAACTATCAGCAGCTGAATTGTCAGTAACTGAGCAAACGGAGCCTTAGCTCAACTGCTAGAAGGTGGTACTTGTGGGATCAGCAGGGCTGACAATGAAGAGAGAAAGATGAAAAGATGTTTTTTAAATCACTAAAAACTCTCTGATGGAGACCTTTGGATTATACCAGTTACTCCTGTTTGGTGACAGCAATGTAAAATAGAATGAAGCAACATACAGGCTTATTGGGATGTAAGTAGTGTCATCACTGTAGGACTGACTTTATATGTAAATATTCTCTAACATAAATGCTTTTACATTTATGAGAGATTTTCTCCTGTTATATCCCCCCAGGTTTTCTGAAAAATAAACTGGCCATGCTTATCAGTTAAAAATATGATGGTAATAAATATCTGAGATGTTTTACATTTACAAATATAATATCATGTTCTAAGGAATACCAAAAAGCTTTATGCTTGAAGAGTTATTTTAACTGGAGGCACAAATAAAATGGGATCACGTATTTTAAAGCATGTTTAAATATGCTAATTTTAAAACATTTTTGAACGTGTTAATTCTGAGCATGTATTTTCTCAGGTCACCATTATTGCAGACGATAACTGCAAGTTTCTGTGCTGGTCCAGGGAAAGGCTGACTTATTTTCTGGAATGTGAGCCATTTCTTTATGAGATCTTTAAGTATCTTATTGGCAAAGATATTACAAATAAACTCTATTCATTGAATGACCCAACCTTAAATGACAAGGTAAGCAACTGAAGTTTTGTTTGGGAATTTTCCTCCTATACATGAATTTATTGTTACTTCAATTTTAGATCCTCTGAAAGCACCTTTTTTTAACCTGCTACTGAAAATTCACTGCTGAATCAGCTGCCGAATTCACACTTGTTGCCTTTTAGTGCCAAAGCATGAGTGCAACGTTTCTGTCAGCAGCAATATTGGTTAAAGTTAGCACACTTATGTGCAAGAAAGATGAATAACTGAGATTCAGAACTGACTGGCTGGTGCAAATATTTCTAGCCAACTAGGAGACATGATGGCCAGCAGCTAAAAAGGTGCTTCACCCTGGATATCCTTTCTCATTAGCAAATGGATGCCTTTGTAGAAAGAAGCTTTGGGGATTTTTTTCTTCAAGAATTTGCTTGCATATCAACAGTAGGTTGATATGATGTAGTTAGTGGAAGGATGCATGAAATACATATAAATATAAAAACGTAGATAAATACATATAAGGTGATAAACGATAACTATAGTATAATAAATATAAATGCATATTATACAATACATATAAATATATACATTTAAGATATAATAAGGACATATAAAATATTCAGTGGTCTGAATATAACTCATTCTTCTTCGCATGTAGAGGGAGTGTGTTTTAGGTGTCACAGTAAGTGGTCTGGGTGTAGTCATGGATATATCAGTTATCTTGGTTTGCTTTCATTTTATCTTTTTACTTAATTACATGACTTTTCAAGATTTGAATGGTAACTCGGCTGATGGTGGTTTTGCTTGGGTTTTTTATTATTATTTATGTAGTGGCTGTAGGATTCTCATGTATAATTTATTTGAAAAACTTTCACTATTATTTATGAAAAGCTTTATAATTTTGTAATACAGTATTTTCATATTCTGTCTGTATTGATTTAACTCACACTAGCTCAGAGCAAAAATCCATCTCATCAGACTGCCCATAATTATATATATATGTTAAATAGTTATTTCTGTAAAGTGAATTTACAAGTCTTTATTTTTCATGACAGTAGTCACATGAATTTAAGATTATTGTAACTGCTTTATCACAGTAATTTTTGAAAATGAGTGTTACACAAATTAAGAGTGAGCATTTGGGAAATCTGTAGTATCTTTGTATTCCTCCTCAAATGAAAATCCTGTTGCACAAGCCCTTCCTGCATAATGCAGGACGGATTCTCCTTCATTTCCCCATTGCCAGCACTCTATGCACATGTCACTTCTCACAGGCTTCATTGTCAGTTATACATGCTACTGGTGTCTTTAATGCTTTTTAACTCCTAACAATCTCAATAGAAAATTTTGTGGTTGACTCCTGTACACAGGGGACATGCAAGAGAACAACTAAGATTCAGTATAGATTGTTCATAATCAAGATGATAGTAAGAAGAATATAAATTCATTGTGTGGGAAAATGGAAAAGTATCCATTTATTTGTAAGGAACCTTGTGATTTTATCCTATCTAAGGAGATTTTCACTTCTGTTGGGAAAATAGTCATTCCTCTCCATGTGAAATAGGATGCCAATTCCTGACTTTTAAAATTCAGTAAAGTGGAGTTATCCATTATGCTCTTGTCTTTCATTACTGCCTTTCACATACCTAAAATAGCATTCTGACTTTCAGTAATACTTACCAGGGTACAATGTATGGTTCCATATAAATATTATAGTAGAAGACTTCTCAGAAAGACTACTCAAAGCAAATGGAAGCTCCTGAGACCATTTGACCAGCAGAGGATAATGTTCATGTGATGCATTTAATCTGTCTTTGGTAAAATCAAGAGCCAAGTGATCATCTACTAGGAAGGAATGACATGATGAAATGAAAAGCCAGGAGAGTGAACAAATTGCAGTTAAGATATAAATTGCTAAACTCTCTATATAGCATGCTGATTTGTTTCTCAAGGAGGACCAGGATCATCTTAAAGGCTGTATGTAATTGCAGAGCATCATACCTAAATAATGAATTACCAAATAATAAAAATCTAACTTTCTGTAGGAAAATACATGAAAAGTGCAGCGCAAGACAGAATTAAAATTGAATAATTAATCTGAGGTTTCACGCTTGTCAATGTTCTAGTTCCAATATATTACCAGTATCTTCTATTTTCATTTAAATCAATATACACTGCATAGAATCTTCTGCTTTAACCAGTTTCTTGATCCACGAATAGTTATAGCTGAAACCAGAGCATCTACTACAGTGGAAATGTTTATAACTTTTATTTTAATTTACCTGATACCTTTTTTTAAAATTATAATTGTTTACAATTTTTTTAGGCTTCAAAAAGGATTGATCGACAGCCAAGTCTTTGCTCACAGCTCTCTGTGATGCAGATGAGAAACAGTATGGCCAGTACCAGTGACAGTGAGGACGGCTTGCAAATGTTTCTTCGCGGGACTTCCTCTGCATCCTCTCTTCGTGAGTGCTCAGAATAGTTTGTGCCAGTTTTGAACACAGCTTGGTTGATCATTAGAGATGATTGCAGAACTCTTGTTGCCTTCAGTGGGAGCAGACTGTAGCTTTTTGAATGCTTCTGCACATCAGCTAAGTGGAGGGACCTAACTGTAGGGAATTCGTAAGATGCGTACAGCTTTGTATATTAACTGAAGCTACCTCATGTAGATACTGGCAAAAACCCCAACATGTATCGTAATAATTTTTGGCATAATTTTAATGTGTAGATGTAATATGGAATGTTTATGTCAGTGGTGTGGAACTGTGAATGTACAGTGCCTGTCACAGAAGTATCTCCTTTGGTCTGTGACTGATGCTTGTAGAAATTACCCAAAACATTTGCCCTCAACAATTTGGCACTTTGTGTTTCCTCCTGAGATAGTTGGTATTGGCAGAGTCTGGAGAAATGTGGTATACAACCAATATTTTGATGCCACCTGGAAAATCTCCAAATAACCTGCCAGGCTCTCCTCTCCTGGTTTTTCTATGATAGGAATAGTAGGGAACAGCTAAAGTGAGGGGAGAAACTATGTTTGACCTTTTTGCTTCCACTCTTGCAATTTATTCTTTTATAGAACTTTCTGAATAATTCTTTGTAGCTTTTGCTGTTGTTTATTTTTAATTCCCCTGAATCTAAACTTCAACAGTAACCTGAACTCTAAAAGCAGCTTTTGGAAAAGAAATCCCAGAAGATGCTCAATTTTGTCACTTGACGCAAGCAGTTAGTTTAACTGGATTTAAAAAGATCATATAGGATTGTTTATTTTGATTTGGGAAATAATATTCTTTAATAATTAGAATTCAAAAGAAGAAAATCACTGCCAGTTATCTATTACGATTAAACTCTCTACTAAGAAGATAAAGTGTTTTAAAGTATTTGGACTTTCCAATTTAATTATCTCTTTTCCATTGTGTTCCTCACAGTTCTTATCCACGAAGTCCTTCAGACTTGGAGGGCCCATCTGTTTTCACTCCTTAACACTGGTATAGACTGCATGCCCAGATAGATGGAAGCAAAAGCCCTGATACTGTTTACCCTGCTAGAATGTCAAGGGTGACATATAGGATACAGTTTGCTGAAAGTTGCAGTGGTGTTTTCTGTATTTCTCCTCTGTTCCCTGAAAGGACATTTAGAATCACAGAACAGTTGAGGTTTGAACCCATGTTCAAAGCAGGGTTAGCTAGAGCAGGTTGCTCAGGGCCATGTCCAGTCAAGCTTCGAATATTTCTAAGGTGGAAGATTTCACAGCTTTCTGGCCAACCTGTTCCAGGGCTTTATCACTCTTTGTGAAAAAGATTTCCCCTATTACGACTCATGACTGTTGTCCTCTGTTCTTTAGTGCATGCCTCCAAGAAGTGTCTGGCTCTGTCTTCTGTATGCCCTTCCATTACATAGCCGAAGACAACAGTAAGATCCCCTAAGAGCCTTCTGTTTATAAGGCTGAACTCACACAGTTCCTGCAGCCTCTCCATGTACGTCATGTGCTCCAGGCTTTGACCATTTGGTTGCTCTCCACTGCACTCGCTCCAATATGTTCATACCTTTCTTGTATGGGGAAGCCCAAAACTGGACACAGCACTCCAGATCCTGTCTCACAAGTGCCAAATAGAGGGGATTAATCTTTTAAATTGACCTGCAGGCCGTGCTCTTGCTACTATGGCCCAATATATGGATGGCCTCTTCACTGCAAGGGCAGTCTGCTGGCTCATATTCCACGCAGACTCCCGGGTCTGTTTCTGCAAAGCTGCTTTTCATCCAGTTGATGCTCAGGCTGTACTGCTTTGTAGGTCTGCTGTGTCTCAGGTGCAGCAGTTTGGCTTTGTTGAACTTCATGTGATTTCTGTCAGTTCTTTTCTCCAGCATCTGAAGGCATGTTCTGACCAGCCACCCTACCCTCTGGCCTGTCAGCAGTTTCTCACACTATTTGGCTGTTGTCTGTGTATTCCATCCCATCATCCAGGTCCAATATATTGAACATTTTAAGCCTTGGTATTGACCCTCAAGGGATACTGCTGGTAACCAACTGCCACCAGGGTTTTCTACTGCTGTTCACCATCCCCTGAACTCAGCAGTCCAGTGAATTTTTCACCCAAGCTGCAATCTGTGTATTAAGTCAATTTCTCACTCATGTGGTTAAAGAGTTTTGTGTCAGGCTGTGGAGGGTCATGCTTCACAGAGCTTGTCATCTCACCACAGAATGCGGTCAGACTGGTCAGGCACAATCTGCCCATGGTACATCCATGCTGGCTGTTCCCAGTCACTTTCCCATCCTTCATGTGCTTGGACATGGCTTCCAGGGAGACAGGCTCCATGATCTTCCTGGCGACTGAGGTTAAGCTGATAGGCCTGGGTACAGTTTCCTGGGTGCTTCTCCTTGCTCTTCTTGAACATGGCCATGACATTGGCCTTTTTTTCTCTCCCCTCACTGCCACGAACTTTCCAAGATGATAGAGAGGGGTCTTGCAATTGCATCAGCCAACCCGCAGCACCTTGGATGCAGCCCTTGTTGTTCCAGTCTTGTGTATGCCCTATTGACTTTAAGTGCTTCTTAACTCAGTCCAGCTTTTCAGTAAGTCAGGTATCACTCTCACAGTCTCTGCCACTGGACTCAGAGACCTAGGAGGCTTCAAAACAAACCTGTAAAGTAAAAATTGAAGCAAAAAAGATATTGAATATCTCAGCCTTTTCCATGTCCCTAGGCCCTGTGCCCCACTGAGCCATGGTCTCTCTTTCCATGGTCCTCCTTTTGTTGCCAGTGTATTTGCAGAAGCCCTTCTTGTTGCCCTTTACTAGATCCAGGTCCTGCCGAGCTTTGGCTTTCCTAATTCCATCCTTGCATGCTTGGGCCATATTTCTGTACTCCCCCAAGCAGCTCATCCCTGCTTTCACTTTGTGTGTGTGCGTGTGTGTGTGTGTGTTAGAGCTCTGTCAGGACTTTCTTGTTGATCTATGCCATCCTTCATCTATGCCAGCCTTTTACCACGCTTGCTCAACTTTCTATACACTGGCATGGACTGTCTTTGTGTTTTGAGGAAGGTGTCCTTGGAGTTAAACCATCTGTCCTCAGGTCCCTTTGCCCTTGAAGACCATGTCCCATGGGTTCCTGCCAAGTAAAACCTGGAGCAAGCCATAGTCCCCCATCCTCAGGTCAAGGGTTGTAACTCTGCTATTTGTCTTACACACTTCTCAGTATCTTAAACTCCACCAGCTCCTGGACACTGCAGCCATCAGCCTTCAGCTCCCTGATGAGTTCTTCCTTGTTCGTCAGTGACAGGTCCAGCAGAGCAACTTCCCTAGTTGGCTCATCGGTCACTTGTGTGAAGAAACTGTCTGCTACGCTCTCCAGAAATCTCCTGGACTGCTTGATCCCAGCTCTGATGCCTTTCCACCACATACTGGGGTGGTTAAAGTTCCCCATGAGTACCAAGGCCTGCGATCATGAGGCTTCATCCAGTTGTCTAAAGAAGGCTTCCATCTACTTGCTCTACTTGATCAGGCAGCCTGTAGCGGATATCCACTATGAAGTCTCCCATGTCGGTCTGTTCTCTGATCTTTACCTGTAGGCTCTTGACTGGCTTTTCACCTGTTCCACGGCAAAGCTTCATGAAATTGAAGCCACTCCTTTGTGTAGAGAGCCCTTGGACAAATGTGAACACTCAGAAGCCTGAAAGAAATTGTAAAACTGTGTTCGTGCAATTAGTTAAAATTCTCTTTCAGGCTTAGCAGCAAAACGCTTACACCAGTATTTCAGCTTTGGGAAAAGTAATCTAAATGCATGACATGTTCAGATGTAATTTCATTAATTTCTAAGATGCATCCATGCTTAGCACATACTTGATAAATATATTTTTCTCTGTTTACTTTTCCTTGGTTTGTGTACCATATTTTCTTATGTATGGGAAGTATTTTCCCCAAAGAGGGGTTTAAATGTCTTTTATGTTCTGAAATTGCTTGGTCCAACAGCAGCTGGTGTAGTTGATACTGCCATTGATATCGCCCCACTGGCAACAATAGGTGCGGCAGCCTTTCAAGTCCAATGGTTCCCTTCCTTTTGAGGAGGCAAAGGAGTTATTTATACAAGCAGTGTATCATACACCCCAGGAAATATTGTCATTTATTTCTTCTTTGCGTTTTGATTAATGGAAGATTTCTGACTTCTGTAAAACGTTGATAATTCTTGGTGAAAGGTTATTTATCTCACTAAACTGTGAGATCTCTTTTTTTGCCAAGATAGCTTGTTAGTTATTCCTGGGTACCGTCACTGCCAATGATGGGTTTGCTACCAAGGTGAGCTCTGCTTATAGATTTGTATTCAATGTGGATTGCAGCCATTTTTTCACACTTTTTCTCAGATCACAGGGAAAACTGAACAAAAAGCTGCCATTTACCTTACCACTGTTGCGTTTTCAACTTTGGTCTGTTTTCTAAGATTCAGTATGAGGTATATGTTGAGGCTTACTGTCCCTGTATCCTCCTTCTGCAATCAGACATTTCTTTATTTAAAAACAAGCAAAATCCAAAACCCCCAGAAGTCTTAGTGAGGAACATATGGAAATTACAAACTTTTTTTTTTTTATTTAGAAGAAATTAATAAGAGAAACCTATCGGTACAGGAATACTATCTTGTCATTGCTAGGGGATCAATTGTTGTGTGCATAAAAGCTTCCCATTACAAATATGATATTTGACTACTAAAATACAAATAGATTTTATTCTCCTAATTTCCATATTCTTAGAAATTTGAGCATTTATATTCTTTTGCGTAATCCAGACTTTTTAAATGATGCTTTTATCTGTGCTACAAACAATAAGCTTTGACTCATTTTCTCAAGAAATTGATATAAAGCTTTTTACAAAGTGTTTAGTACCGAAACAGTGAAAAATACTGATTAGTAGGTCCCAAACTACAATTACTAACAAAGCTGTGTTTTGAATTTAATTAACTAAGAAACCCAACTAACTGTTTGCTTTTATATTAAGGAAATAACCAACAAGAGTTCTATAATGCTTATGGAGTGAGTCGTTTGCAGCATGATGTTTTCTGTTGATAACATCACATTAACTCAGCAAGCATCCTCAAAAAGGTATTAAAGTGAGGTTTGTTTATCATGTGATACTTGTGCTTGATATCTGTGATCCATCTGTCTGCAATTTATTAGTAAACGAAATTGATGTATCTCTTTTTCCAAAATTTGAAGCAAGCAGAAATAGTTCAACGTGATTAAAAGGGTAGCTTCACCTGACTTTCAGTTCTTTAAGAAACATTTCAGTGTTAGTTTTCTATTCAATAACTCTATTACTCGATAGTAATTCATATACTTAGTAGTGAAACAGTCTTTATCTATGCTGTTTGGTTTAGATTGCTCAAACCTGCTGATCTGTGAATCTGTATTTGCAAACTTCTAAGCTTTAGTAATGCTTTTATTGGTATTATCCCATTACGTGTGTTCCTTATGTTATACCCAGTTTGTGGTTAAAAGCAGGGTTAGGTTTCATGGGAAATGCCATTTTAATAGGTATTTGGGCTCAAGTCCTCGAGATAGGTGTGTGGAAGGTGTATGGAAGGCCTGGGTTCAAGGTCTAACTCAGTCTTGTGAACACTTGTCCAATGCCGGATAGAGACATCAGTAGACAAGTTTTTTGTGTTTGGAGAAAATGACAGTGTAACTTTGAACCAAACAACTTGACAGTATTAGACCTTATATTGGATCCTGTTGAACAGGCTTGTGGCTTCTTACTTCTGGGGAGAACTAAACACTTTTAAACATGAGAAAACAATTCAAAAATGGCAATAAACTATACTAATAAAAAATCTAAAAAACCCCAGACCAATACAACAACTGTAACTCAGTATTTTCAGACATCCTTTCACCTTTGAGTGAAATTTGTTGGTGTCTCCCAGAAAAGTCAATTTTATATCCAAGCGCACCCACAAATCTTGGATTTAGACAATTAAATGATCTAGTCATCCCTTGTTTAGGCTGTAAAAACCCATCTGTGTGAAAAGAAGTGCTTAACAATTAGAGTAATTGAAAATGTGTTTGAGTAACCTCTTATCATGGCAGTTAGTTTTTGAATGTCAAAAGAAAATACTAATGTTTTTTGAACATAAGAAGTTCTAAAAAGCTAATTCCAAAAAGTGTTTGTGTGGATGTGACTTAAAAATACAGTAATACAATAACCCACTGGTCTTGCCTATGGCTGTATTTTGTTCTCCTTATGTAACACATGCAACACAAAGGAGTCCTTCATAAATAGGCTTCCTTTACTGTATATCTGATGAACTTTTTCTGAAGTCTTAAGAATAGCCCTGCAATAGGAGTATGTTATGGCTAGCAGTATTTTTTCCAAGAAAATCCGAACTTTTAGCTTATATACAAATAATCAGACGGGTCCACTACCTCTTGCTCTTTTCTTCTCAAATGGTATTTCAAAGATGTACCTAATCTTTTTGGTCATCATACGCTAGCTGTTTACAACCTTGTGCCATTGTGGTGGTTTAACTCTAGAAGAAGGTACTGAGAGAAAAAGATGTCCAAGTACGTATGCAATTTCAGAGTGAACAATAGAAAATAAACCTGCTTGGCTGGTGTCAAGGGAGTTCTCCGGTTTAACCCTCATGCTGAAAACTTAACAACAATAGAGGTAGTTTGCAGTGGTAACTTGCATAAAACCTCCTTTTAATGTCTTACCAGCAACAGCTGTGGTGTGCACCTTGCTCTGGCAAGCCCTATGAGTTGCTGCTTTTCTAAAAGCTTGCCTTGGAGCAATGAAATCACTGTCAGTCAAAAGTGGCCTTCACCTGTTAATCTTGTTTTCTTTGTGGTTCTTTATGGGGGTACTATATTTTCTGTAAGTTTTACATTTTCATGCTTTTAAGGCAGTTAGGGCTGTGATCATGTACCCACCTGAGGTTTGCCCAGTACACTGAGGAATTCTTCCACAGCCAAGGCAAGTGTGCAGGTGTACTTACCCTTTGTACTTCAGGCAGCTGTTCATGGTGTCGTTTGTGGAGAATTAGTGGGTGAGTAACAGTGAGAAAACAATTACCAGGGACATGGCATTGGGCACCTCATTTGTACTGAATCTGTGGAGAATACTGTGCGTGTGCCTGGCCACAGGGTTCGAACCTTGGAGATGTTGCTGGTTCATTGCAGCATGGCTGTCCCACATCTAGAATTTCTTGATACCTGTGGTCAAATAACAAAGAAACCTTCGCTTACAAAATCCATTCGGGAGGGAACTAGGACAGGATTACCAGACTGTGTACTAAATAAGTGTATGTAGCAGGTGTATGTTAAATTAATTGGTAATTTCTCTGTAACTGTGGCAGGCCCAGGCCGGACATCTCCCTACCTGAGAACTTCCACAAAAATGAAGCCAATAGAAGAAAGTGTTGAAGATGATGTCTTTGAAGCACCATCTGCTGATAAGCTTGAACTCCAGCAGCTGCCTTAAATGGATGTGTCCTCAGGTGTATCTGGGCTTGCCCAAAGCTCCAGTGCAAGAGGAAGAATTTGAGAGGAATCTGAAAGCTAAAACCACCTTTCTGTGTTTGATTTTGCCACAGCATATGTCAGTGGCTTCTAGATGAAATGTCATGTTTTATTTTACTTCTAAATAAAATAGATAAAAACTTGGTTTTATTTTTGTTTTTTGGGACATGGGTGGCTGCTTTATTTCTGCTCTGGCCACCATAAGTTTAGTATTAAGTAGCTGACTATCCCGAAATTTCTAGAGACTTATTTGGTAGAGAATATCCCCAGTTTCATTTTGGTAAGTTTCTTAGAAGCCCCTATCTTAGTGTTTTTCAATGGGAGATTTTGAAACAATGTTTCCAAAGCCATGTTGCTGTTACCTACCATCATTGTTGTGAGTATTGTGTGAAATAGTACACACAGTCTTCTGCACCTTTTGGTGGGTACTTGCCTCTAGTTCTGGTGTTTCCCGACCTGACTGCTTGACTTTACAATTGTAATAATGACTTCAATTTCAATTTTTCTTGGTCAGATATTTAAATATAATACTGCCTTTTGAGCCTTAACTTTTTCTTCTTTAGGTAACTGTATTACACTGAAGTCTATGCTATTCCTTGATCTTATCCGTGGAGTGATTGAGCTGTTATGGATTAACCTTTCCATACAGCAATATGTAAGGTACAAATGACACCTGACGTAGGAAATTCAGTTCATACCTCAAAACTGGGTAGCTCAAAGTACAGTAAAACACAGTCTCATGTTGGGAAGCGTTGGGAAGACTTTATAAGAGACACTTGTATTAGTCCTGTCAGTGATTTGTGGAGACACATAGATGGTACCTGTACTTCTGTGCTTTGGCAATTCTTGAAATTTGTTATGTAACAAACAATATATTTTAACTAAATATAACAGAAAATGGATTATTTTCCATTTATTGAATTGCACAGAACTCTGCTACATACAATAACAGAGGTTTGGCTTAAGTTTTCAAGCAGTCAGAGGTGTCAGAATCTGGGTTTTGCTGATTTGTTTCACTTCATTTTATTTCTAAAATTTATCCTGACAGAGCATCCTAGAGTCAGCCTGCATCTGAGTAATTCCCTCCTCAGAAGTGCATGCAGTCTCAAAACTTGCAGTTAAACAATTGCAAGTTTGAACTGTGTTGTCAGCAATCCTGCTTCTGTGAATTTAAATGCAGTGTTTAATATTACATCAATATGTCTTGTGGTTCACTTAGTTTTGCATTATTAAAAACATTGCACTGAGGTCAAACATACTTAGTAATTTATATAAATAGATGTAAAATACTTTCTGGCCAATCATCTGCAAAAGACAGCACATTGGCTTCTGTACATTGGCTTCTGTTAGAGCTCATGTAGTTTATCATCTAAATCTGATTTAATGTTAGCCTTCACAGGTAGAAATTAGGAAGTCCTCTTGCAACTGTTGTAACTTAAGCACAAGTGTTAGTTGGAACAGCTTTCAAAACCACTGGTTTGATAAACCAAAATGATATGTAGGATCAATTGTGAGTCTTCTGAGGTAAAAATGGGATTCAGCAACTGAAACATAAATGCATATTTAAAATTTTACCACATTTTTAGTAGCTGACTGTCAAATACTGGCAACTGAACAGATTACACCATGAACAAAAATACAGTAAACAACAAGAAAACTGAATATATGCTCATTACAGGGGTGTTGGACTCGATGACCTTTGAAGGTTCCTTCCAACCCAAGCTATTCTATGATTCTATCATTAGAAAAATACAAAACATTCTCCATGCAGTAAAATGCATGCTATGTATCCTCATAACTCCAGTGACTGTGTGGTGTAAAGTTGTGAACTTGTTTGAATTTTTGGATGTCCTGTTTCTTTTAATAAAAAGAAGAATACTTGCAGAACATTTCAATAGGGTAAATTATAAAAAATGCAGAGTTATTTAGGCTGAGATCTCTGTAGGTGATGTGATCTAGCCTCCTGCTAAAAGAGGGTCAACTTCCAAATGAGTGGAAATGTTGCAATGATGAAGACAAAAGTATTGTTACCAGGTGCTGTTACAGGAAGATGGCTGTGTGTGAGGACCATATGTCTAAGATGTTTATCTTCCTTTTGGATTACAAGACAACCAGACTTCATATATTTTTGCAGGTTTTACAAAAGCTGCTCCAATAATAATGCATGATAATAATTGATTATCATGCCATGTGAGTAACATGATGTTTACAGACTTACAGATCAGTGGGTGCTGGCTTTCATACTCTGAGCAGCACTTTCAAGCTCTGCTTAAGTGTAAGAAGCATCCTGTAATAATTCCCATTTAAGGGAGGAGTGATTGTGTCTGTGGGTAGGGGGTGGCTGTAAACCCATTGTTAGCTCATTTCAAGATGTGATTAGTAAATCAAACATAGAACAACATATATTTTTGAATCATAACATTGTGTTTTGTTGGTCGTAACTGTAATTATGTAGCAGATGGAAATTATACCAGCAAACAGCTATTTCTACTAACTAGAATATCTGTGGAAGAAAAAATGAAGGTACTTCATAAAAATGTACCTTTTATGTTTTGGTTTTATTTTGTTTTTTCCAAGAATTCTGTGATTTCAATGCATTTATGTAAGTACAGCAAAATGCATATTGAGGTTTGTCAGGGAGACTGAACTAAAAGGTGTCATTAGCTCTATAAAGAATTGTCATAAAGATTCATTTCAGGCTCTGTCCTGCTCTTGTAGCAAAGCCCTGTTTGTCTCACTCTTCATGTGGAATGAGCTTCACATGGAGCTGACCCAGCATCTCTTCAGCTGTACCTCATAGACTCAGGAGCTTGCGTACTCCTACCCCAGGGGGTAAATCCACTTTGAAGAAATTGTCCAAAGTGTGAAAAACAGTCATTCAGACATTAGGAGAGGATTCAGAAAATCAGCTGTAGCCCAGTGCTTGGGAAGTCAGGTGCATAAAAACTGCTCCAGTGCGGAGCTGGTGAAACTCCAGATCTTGATTAACATGAAGAATGGTGCTAGTCACTACCCACATTGCATTCTACAGGTGAAAGCCAGCTCTCAGGTTCTAGTCCATGATGGATATTTGCAGTAAATAACAAGCTTAGAACAGGTAAACTCAGTGATCAAAACTATTTCAGTAATATTGTCGTGGTTTAAGCCCAGCCGGCAACTTGGAACCATGCAGCCGCTCGCTCACTCCCCCCCTTTTCCTTCCTCCCCCCCGCTCCCGGAGGGATGGGGAGGAGAATCGAAGGAATGTAACTCCCACGAGTTGAGATAACAGCTCTCCAGTAACTAAGGTATAATACAAACCACTACTGCTACCAATAATAATGATAAGAGGAATAACAAGGGAAAAGGACACAACCGCTCACCCCCCGCCGACCGATACCCAGCCCGACCCGAGCAGCGATCTGGGTCTTCCGGGTAACTCCCCCCAGTTTATATACTGGGCATGACGGGCTGTGGTATGGAATACCCCTTTGGCCAGTTTGGGTCAGGTGTCCTGCCTCTGCTTCCTCCTGGCTTCCCCTCCTCTCTGGCAGAGCATGAGACTGAGAAAGTCCTTGGTCAGAGTAAACATTACTGAGCAACAACTAAAAACATCGGTGTTATCAGCGTTGTTCCCAGACTGAAAGTCAAAACCACAGCACTGCACCAGCTACTAAGAAGGAGAAAAAATGACTGCTGTAGCTGAACCCAGGACAAATATGAATGTAGTTTAGCTATCCCTGGTTTTTAAATGGTCATTTTATAAACAAGCCAAATGTATTTGATGGCTTTGGGGTTTTTTTAAGTTTTGAATGGGCATGCAAATACTAAGTGCTTATTTTTTCTTCCTATACTATTTCCCTTTAAGAAATAAGTGCAACTGAATTATAATCTCCTAATGGAAAACAGGCCACTTTATTTGCTGTATGCGTTAGAAAGCAAAGCAAAGATGTAACATAAGAGGCACTTCAGTAAAAAAAAAAGGAACGGTAGCAATGGTGATACAGTTAAAAGGCAAGGGCTCGGTTCTTCAGTAAATTTTTGGTATCTAGGTGGAGTCTACTGCAAAAGTAGACACTCAAAGTATCTTCACATGCGGAAGGCAGCAATTTCTAGAGTAACATTGTGCACGGCAGGTCATCAAAGATACAACTCACTTGAATGGAGTTTCGGAAAGTGAAATTGTAGTGACACATTTTAACCTTATTACTGGAATTACAGCAACAGTTACTTTAATTGTTATTTCAGAAATGCAGTCATAGGAAGTACCTCGGAGTGAAAGGTTTTTCTGTCTCTGCTACCATGTTGGTCACAGCTGCTTCTGATTAAAGGGGAATGGGTTCTCAGTATTTGTGGGATTAATAAGAGAAGAGAAACCATCTTAATTAATTAGCCCTGACATTTAAACTTTCTGAGAGCATGAAGATGATATGAGAGTCGTCAGAGAGTGCAGAGAAGCTTTCATAAAAGCAGAAGTTGCAGGATCACTCTGTATTGCTTGCAGTACAGTCTCTATACTTTTTCAATAAGGAGAGCATAGCAGAGTGGCTCAACAACATGGCAAAAGTTGATGGGCTCTTGTTGGGCAATTTGACAGAGCTAACTGCTTTTCTTTTGGTAAAGTTATGACTGCAGGAGGAATGAAGCATTTTCAGTGACCTTAAATATTAGCTGAATTTTATTTCACAAGAGTATTTACCTGGCACTTAATGAAGAGAAAATAAGTTACAAATCTAAGTCATTTACAGCCATGCGATGCCTGTGTGTTTGTCAATTATATAATGCTCTAACACAATGAAAACACATTTCTGTTCTTATTCCATTCATGTGGAAGTGACTTAAGATGACAGATTTGTCTAGATAGAAGTCAAAGAAAACCTGGGTAGCTATCTGATTGTAGCTCCTTAGACTGGGAAGGTTCATGTACTGCACATCATTATTGTTCTATTGGCATTTTCCCATCACACCTCCACCACCATTTCACTTTCCTGAAGCACACAGCATTATCAGCTGCCAAAGCACAGCTGGAACTGAGCTGTGATCTGGGCTGAGGAAACAGGATTCTTATCTCCACATGGGGATTGCACTAGGATCAGGGGCAATGGGGAAGCTCAGGAGGAGATGGGAGCGAGTTCAGCTAGCAGGAGCAAATCAGCACATGGG